ATATAAATTCCTCCCGCACCCATCCACTCGACATACGGAAAAGACTCATAAAGTTATAATGGCTCATTTTCCGTGTAATTTATGGCGCGCTGTGAATGAAAATCGCGACCAGGCACCGACTGCCAGTTTTCGTCCGGAGCTTTCGCCGTTTTCTTCATTTTATTGACGATAAATCAGCTTTAACTCAGTCCGATCATTTGATCGAGCATATTTATCACGGCAAATCTACCAAGAAGCAACTTGTTTACCAAATGCAATATATTTATGAATTTTCTCAAGTGAAATAATTTGATTATCAATCTGATTAATATTGAAAACGTATGCATTTGGAATTTCAGCGCGTTGATGATGCCTTTCCAGCGGAATTAATCGAGTGTTAATTATGAATTCATATTAGTAAATAACGACGTCAGAGACTAATTGCGTCGGGGGCGTGAAGCTGGTCCTGCTGAAGTTTCTCCAAGATGGCGGCGTAGACGTTTGTGGTGCATGCGGAACGACGCGCCACCACTCACGTATGCATGACAAGCTCACATCCGAGTTACAACTGCGATGATGAGAAGATTTAATTATAATTAGTACCAACCCCTGATCTGATATTCAATTATAAACGCCGGTAGACGTTGGGCTGTATTGCGGAACTGTGTTAAAGAATATTTAAACTCACGTCAGTTTAGAAAACAATAAATTCAGAATGTGTCTCTGCCTAACAGTGTAGTAAAATAATGAAAATTTTATATTTAAAAGGTAAAAAGTCATTTTTAAATTGATATCAGGGTATATTTGAGGTTATAGCAAATGAACGTCATCTAGCAATACTTTAAAAACGCCACCTTTTGACAGAATATCAAAACATTATAAACCTAAACAAATATTGTGATTTTGGGCGAATTGCATCTGTTTAATCTTTTGTAAGTTGTTTATTAACTCAATTACACTAATAAAACAGTGGAAAATTGACATTTTTAAGGTAAAAAGTCATTTTTGGAGGTTATGATAAATGAGTACTGTCCAAAACTTGCGCCACCTTTTGAAATAATATCAAAACATCAAAATAATTGAATACAAAGTTAAAAAAAGAAAATTAATATTGAATTTAAATTTATTATTTATTCTCTAATCAATATTACATTGTTTGATTAATCATCGCACTTTGTATGATTATCAATTACGTTAATTGCACACACATTAAGTCAAAAACACATATTGCAACTAATTAGTGCATTGTCGAATATTAAAGTGGGAAGTGGGAATAAATTTAATTCAATTGTTCTATTTCGATATCCGGACGTGATAAGCGTAAATAGTTTGCGAACAAATTGATCGCATTAATATGCATGTGGATTGAGTGCACTTGCAGCCGGAAAATGACGTGAACAGCCTTGCCCAAATCATACCCTCCACACAATTTATATTATTTGCTTGGTTCTATTTAAATCTAAATTAATTCTCAAGGTGTCCAATTATTCCTAATTGCAGTCGACTCACGTAATGCAAATACACTATTCCCAGTCGTAAATACAACTTAATCTTATTTCAGTGAAAAACTAAACTCAACTAAAAGTTAAAAAGTTAGACGTTGAAGACGCTAACGGAGATTTATTTTCTGTTAAATAGAATCGGCATGTTAACTGTTTGTGCTGAACGGCGCAAAGTTTGCGATAACCCCGCGGGCAGGCGCATCGTGTATTAGAAAATTCGATTGTCGTCTTAGAATTTGATGCGAGCATATCGTGCGCTGCATGACGTGCATGTGCCGCCGCTCGCGTAGATACGATTAGAGAATCGCCTCCAGCTAGACGACGGCCGCGACGGCAGCGTAAAAACATATCGCCTACGCAGGAAAAGTGAAAGAGCAAAACGAGTGCGACGGTTGAGCGGGAAATCTTCAAAACACGACGATATCTAATCCCCTCAAGGTTATCCGGAAAATTTCTCAAGTCGACGCCATTTTCAACTGATAACCAGGGATCAATCGGAGGGGATAAATATGTGTAACACACAAAAATTGAGTGTCATATTGTCAAACTATCAATTTTTCAAACTGAAATTTTATATTTGGAAAGTAAAAAGTCATTTTTGGTGTTATTTTGGGGTATTTTTTGAGGTTATATGAAAGGGGCGCCATCTAACAAGCATTAAACAAGAAAAATTATTAATAACCTAATTAATCTATCAAGATATCAATTTTTAACATAAATATTTAATGAAATTTAATGAAAGTTTTATATTTTAGCAGTTTAAGTCGTATTTATTATGTTTTTGGGCTATTTTTGAGGTTATGACATGCGAGCGCTTCCTAGCGACTCTTAAACAAGTCAAAAAGTAGCGCCAGCTTTTGATCTATCAAGATATTAATTTTTAAAATAAAATATGGCACCCAAAACCCACCTGAAGCAATTCCTAACCCCTGCGGGCGGTAAATATAATTTAACACAATCAGTGAGTGCCCGATGTTTAGTCAATCCAATTATCATTTTAATTAAAACAAGCAAAACGGAATAAATAAAGTGGAAAATCGTGCACTGACCAATAATAGCTGAATTGCTTTGTGGCGTATTTACAGTGACCATTATAAATAATGAATGACCGAATCGATATATGTCGCAAACAAAATTCCGAATGTAAACTTTAATTAACCATTAGCGGCTGTCTAAAATAATTACACATACTGCGTGCGCGTTAATTAACAGCAGGCGCGGTCGCGAATACAAATCAACGACAAAGAATTAATTGCGAATCGATTGTTTTCGGAATTTGCAAGCCGGAGATCAAAGAAAGCAAACGAAGGGCTCCAAATGCGGCAGCGAAGGAAACAATAAAAAAGAATTAACTCTTGATTGCCTTCGACAACCCTCTTGTGCGGCCGCCGACTGATTCGGAACGCCGGTGACTCGCAGTCTTAAACACACTAATCCTTGAGCGTAATTAATCTTATTGGCCGCCATGACATTTCGTTTTCTTTGCGATCGACGCGTCCACCTTGGCACTTAATGAAGAAAAAATGTTATTTATGCTTTTATGTTTTACGGCTACGTTTTGGAAGGAATTAAAGACGAAATTAGGAAAGATAAAAATAGGTTTAAGGTATTTTTATATTTGATGGGAATAAAATTCGGTATTGGGAAATGATGCGAGTGAAAGTTTGCAGGGAACGCACCACTCACTCGGGTGAGTCATCAGTGGTAACTTAAAGTTCCCCCTACTCTACTACGTTGTACTACAGCGCGGAACGCGTGTTACTACAGTCACACCAGCTACTACTTCTCTCCCCACCACTTCTTGCGGGTATACCGCAGGTATAAAAAGGGGACCCGCAGTGCGCGCGGTGTTCAGTCGTGCCTGAGGCGTACAGTAGTACAATCGCAGTTTACTACGTTCCTCTCCCTCCTTTCACTTCGGATTTTTGTAACACGGTTAAAAAATATCCAGTCTATTAGTTAATATAGACAACTATTAAAATAAAAAGTAAATAATTTTATTTATAATTTATTTAAAATTTAAAAGAAGCTTTCAAAGAATAGTTATCAATATTCTTCTGTCCATCCCTCGGCCGATCAAACACGCCATGAAATTTAAAATTATCCGTAACATGATTAACAAACACTTTATCTTTCTGAACGATGGTTTCCGGTTGTCCACCCCGCTGCGGATAGTACTCAACTGGTTGCGCCTCACAAATCGCCAGAAGTGCCGAAGCAGCAAACACGATCAGCAATAAACATCCGGTTCTCCTGCGAAACGAAACCAAATAAGCATGAGTGTAGTATTCTCAAGTGCATTATGATCTTTATTAAATGCTTCAGCTCACTTTAGTGCCCCTACAGCCGGTAACATTATTGTAAAAGATTATGCCACATTAAACTTTAGTGCGGCAACAAAGTATAATTTGGTATTTTAGAACTTACGTCATGACGTGTAATATGTATTATATAGTAGTGTGTTTAATAGAAGAGAAGAGAAGCGTAATGCCGTTGAGAAAAGTAGAACAGTATGAGTATTGTACTAGCAATAAGTACGGAGCGTTTTTGAATCGATTCGCTTGGTGCGAGATGATTTTATACGCTCGCGGCGCCGCGAGTGTAATTTACAGCGTTTCGGTGTGTAAAATTTTGCATATAAAATGTGATTCACTCGGCTTGCATGTGGTATTATCTCTGATGACAAGATGAATATGATTTGCGTGCGGGAAGAAAATTTCCCCAACGTTGGGGAATAACAAGTGAAGTTTATTGCTTTAATTAACTTTTAAAAACGTTTTTTATCTTTAGAAGCAATAAACTGTGAAATATGGATAATATGTTAGGTTAGAAATTGAAAAACAAGAAAAAGGTTATGTAACTATCACAATCTGCGTCAAAAACATGCGCAGTGTGCGTATTTTGTTAGATTCTCGTGTTTTTAACTCAATTAAAGTACTTTAGTCACGGCCTCGGATTAAATTGTCACTTTTTGTGTCGCAAAAGCGAAAAAAAAAGTAAAAAATAGAAAAATATCTTTTTTAACCTAAAAAATATTTAAACCTTTTTCCTAACCTAAAAATTTTCAAACCAAACACGTATAATATCTTACATAATTAATTATCCTGCAGAAAATAGGACGGACAAAAACCGTTAGCGCGTTTTATCTACATTTTTAAATTAATGAATCGTTTGTCAATATTTGCAGTAAAAGAAATGAATTTGAAACTGAAGGGAACCGGTATTCCTCGAAACTTTTCCTTCCCACTGCTGCTAATTAACTGTTCCATAATTAATAGCCGTTATATTTGTACTTGTCTGTACGTCCGGGCGTCGAACAAACTTCCCTTCAGTGCCATTATTATTTACCACTTTCTTATCGCTGCGCAAACCGCCCGCCATCCATCCCCAGTAAATTGCACTTCTTTCTCGCGCATGCGGAGATAAATAACTGATGCGGTTCGCCTCACTTCGGAAAGTTTAAAAGTGTGTAATTTGTGTGTATGCATCGCGCGAAAACTAAAAGATTTATCAACTTACCTGCGTCTTTCGGTGGGACATCTTAATGGATCGGCAGGTTGGCGAAAACCGTCAGACCTATCGTTAGGGTTAACGACTGGGGATTTAATGAGAACACCGTGCGCCAAGCCCTATATATCTATGGGGTGGCTTCGGAACTCGGACGGATGGTCCTCTCGAGGCCGACTAAAGCCTCAGCCGCCGCCGGAGAGGCTCACGACTCCCCGACGGCCGCATGCGTCTTCGGCAGATTCGCCAACGTCTAGACGGTGGATATTAGTTTTACCACCGACTGGGTATCACGTTCTTATGAGTACATACAACCTGTGCGAAAAAAAAAAACAAAAATCAAAAAAATATTTTCATCGGATATAATTTTGTAGATGAAATTATTCAGTAAACTTCGAAAGAAACGTTTTTAAAAATTTTTTTTTTTTTGATAATTTGTAATTGCCTGTTTAAATGTGCCAAATGGGTTGCAAATGGCGCTACTTAAGCCCCGCGTGTTCACGAAAAGATGAAGTCGAAATTATTAATCTGCGGATGTAGAAGTTCCTTGCAGGGTGTTAAAATTTAACACGAAGGCGAGTCTTCAACTGTTTATCTTACACATGAGGCTGCTCGCCTGCAGCTTTTTAAGATTTATGTTTTTGACTTTTTCCTTGTTTTTAGTTTTTGCATTGCCCGCCAGAGTGGATTCCGCACTCTTTTTTTGTGCTGACTTACCTACTTAGCAGATAATTGAAATAAACTTCACAGTGCAGCACATAAACAACGCCCTCAAACCCTCAAAACTACTAAAAACAAACGCAAAACCTAACACAGTGATGAAAAATAAATTCTGTTAGCAAACTGAGTTTTATTTAAAAACAGAATCATTGAAAAGTTTCGGTGTGGTTATCCGAGTCAGGTTAAACACCACCAGCGCGCAACCAGTCTACATCCCTAGGTGGTTTGGTTGCCTACCACGCCACACGAGTTTTGAATAAATAAATGCCGTATATCTTGCTCCCGGACGTTTTCGATGCCGCAGTCCGCTTCGAATCGCGCTGTGCAGCTTGCAATGCATTACATTTTTAATGCAGCGCATATATAAATGCGAGGGCGATGTAGTAAACATTGTTGGCGTACTGCAGACGTCGGAATGCTTCGGAATGCAGATATGTTGCAAACATCCTTCACTATGTCATACCACATGATAGAAATCGTTAGTTATTGATAGCAACATGTACGATTTATCATTTTGTAAAAGGGGAATTACTGAGATGATAATTCCCGGGTATAAAGACGACTCAATCGTGCATTCCAAGCATAGTCTTCCCAAACTACTAACCTAGTAACACAACTAGCACAACTGAAAAAGGTAAAATTACTCTTTAGTCGGCAGGAAGGATTGTGGTTGGGTACAATTGGCTTTTGACTTTTAGATGGCAGAATACGTATCTAGGACTACTTTCACTTTTGTGCTGTTCGCCCTGCTGGCGACGGCCGCCCTCGCTAATCCTATTGATTGGAGGCAGCATTCCGTGGATCCGCCGCAAACCCGCATTTACGAGCACATGCACCACCGCCACCATCATCATCCGGCTGCTACGATCGGCGAGGATGCGCGGCATGCCGCCGCAGTCCATTTAATTAGATTTGCGCGCTCTCTACAACCCGGTGCTCCGCAAGTACCTTCGGATTTCTTCAAAAAGTACCAAAAGCACACATCGCTGCCAAAACCACGTAGATATTAACTATAACTAAATAAATTACTAATATTTAACTTGATTGACCTTATGACCTCTACAATCAATCAATAAACATAATAACGATAACTTATCTATCAATAAACGTTTCGTTTTTTACTTACTGTGGTGCCAAAATACTGTATTAGCATATGTGTGCATTCATGTATTCATGTTTTCTCATTTCCATTCGGATATTTGGTATTCCAGACGAATATCCGCGAATACGTTAGCAGACGTTAAGAAACTACATTGTTGTGGCGAAAATAAAAGTTTTTCCCTGTTTCGGCTCGTGCCTCACGTGGCAATACTACTTCAGTTACTTCGTTCGCTCGCGCAGTGGAACTGATCGATTGTTATTGCATCGCACGACTACCGGATTAAAATGTGAATGAGCGGGCGAAACAAACAAGAGTGATTCGCAACGGGCTTTTACCCTACTTAGGATATTCAATACTGAACAGTAAGTAAATTTCGCGCAAACTTTGTTTTGCTAACTGCAGGAGTAACTTTTGTTTCGGGAAGGGTCACGTAAAATGTTCGGAGGGTTGCCTAATGGATATTGAAGCATATTTATAATAAGTAATATAAAAAATGGAGGATTATGTATGTTTGGTTGCGTTTAACGCCTAAACTACTTAAGTTATTTTCATGAGTTTTGGTGTAATGATAGATTAAATGTTGGAGAAGAATATAGACTAGTTTTTGTTTGAAGAATAAAGCTTTAAAGAGGATAAATGTGAGGTTAGTATTTTTAAAGGTTAAAGTTATATACTTTAAACGGAAATGGCGCAATTGTCAATTTTTAATAATTTTTAAGCTAATTTATGCTTATTAACATGATAAACATCAAAATAAGTATGTTTGTTTGCTTTTCACGCTTGAACCACCCAAGCAATTTTCATAAATTTTGGTAAAAAGATAGATTGGACATAAGAAAAGAACATAGACTGCTTTTTGTCCCAAAAATTTATTTTTTAAAAAATAAAATTGAAGATAAAAATGTATACATATGTACAATTAATGACGTTTATAGTTATCCACTTCAAACATAAATTGCGAAAGTGTTTTAAATTCTCATAACCTTTATTAATACAAGAATAAATATTATAAAATTCAGTGCAGTATTTAAATAACCTCAATAAAATAATCTCAAAATTCCCAACTGTCCAACCACTTCAGTCCATACATAGTAGAATTAACCTCGTTAGAAGTTGGCCCACTCATGCCATACGCCAGCGGCGAGAACAAAATAAAACTGTAGCTTATTGTCGACAAGATAACCGCCAGCAAAATATGATGTACCGTGTTGGAGATATGTTCCGGAAACAATTTCGGAACTTCTTCGAGTAAATAATCCAGAATAATGCCCGTGATCATTGAGCTGAAAATTAAAGCTGGGAAATAATGATGGAAATATAAAACGCGGCCCATTGCCCAAAAGGGTACATAATGCAACATCCATCCGACGAAGAGCCACGCACACGCCACTAGTTTTCCATTGTGAAAATCTGAAATTTAAGTATTAAAAAGGGGGAAATTTAAATTAACATAACCTGAAAACATACCGGTTATTGATTTAAGGTAACCTCTTTGTTGTTTAATGGCGTTGATTGCAAAAATAATGATGAATAAGATGAGGAAAACTAAATTTCCCCACCAGATGACAGGATTACCCAGTAGGTAAATTCTGTATGTGGATCCCGAGAAGAATTGGCCCTAAAAAGTATATTTTAATAAAAATGATGTCGAAAGTATGTTTGTTTGCTTTTCACGCGTAAACCACTGAAGCCATTTTGATGAATTTTGGTAGATAGGTAGATTAATCAATAGAGTAGAACATAGGCTACTCTTTATGTCAAAAATAAAGGTTTTAAGAGGTTAAATTGGGGTTGAAAACTCGTATAATAAATTAAAAACCAACACCACCCGGTATAAAATGCAAAAACATAATACCCTGTAGTTAATAGGCCATTGCCAAGGCCGTGATGTAATCTCTCCTTCCTTAGGTTTCAGTCCAGCATTTCCTTGGAACATAACAGCGTGCGATTCGAAGAACCTCTCAATAAATGAAGGCGCATACAGGTCAAAACTAACATTAGGAACTAAAAATAATATTCAAACAATTAAAAATCATATTTTCCTGTTTCTTCACCTTTAAACTTACGTTTTTCAAAAATATTTTCCTCAACATTCCAAACACCGTTACTATCACGTAGATTAGGATTACAAGATACTTCCTGCTGCTCATATCCCCATTTAGGTAATTGTTTACCGCTGGTAGTGAGTATACAAGATTGTAAATAATGCACTAATTTCAACTTTCCACTGACTGCCGTAAGTTCCGCACCGTCGTTCGCCCCAATTAGTGTAACCCGCCAAATGTCATTAGCATCACCTGTGCCGTTTTCGCCATAGCCTGTTACCTGATAATGCTTTTTGGTAACCGGTGCACTCTCCTTGTGCGAATGAACATTACGCCGTGTTTGCACATGTTCCAAACGCACCAAGTCACCGCTCTTTACGATATCTATCCCGTCAACATCTTCGGTGTTGTATTTTTTGATCACCCATTTATTATTATCATCTTTATGAGTGTAAGTCGTAATCTGGTAATTAATTTCGCCATATTAGTTTAGAAAGACACATTTGCGGATTATTATTTTAATTACCTGCTGTTGACGTGCTCCAACTCCTTCAGGATATAAATGATAATGTGAATGTAAATATCCACCTCCTGTTCGGTGGTTTTTTAAAGTTACAATCGCACCGTAGGCAACCTGTCGTGGCATACTTGCGTTGTGTAGGCTATTTCCGATCAATTGTGACTGAAAAGCAGAACTATAAAAACCATCACCATTGCCAGAACGGTTTAACACAGTCAGATGAATGTAAAAGAAAAATATGTAGAGTAATATTGGCCAGATGATGAGACAAAGTGCTCTGCAGAAGAGTTGTTTGATTGTAACAATCTGAAACAAACAAAAACAAAATTAACCTCAAATTTGATCCTCCATGATTTTACATTTATTTTCTTACTTTTCTACAGTATTATATACTGAATAGCTGAAATTTTATTTAAATTCATTGAAATACACACCAATTTTATTTAAATATTTAATTTATGTCACACTTTTTCTGTTTTTACAGAATTCTCATTTTGACTATTATACAAGTTGCCCAACACAAAACCCAAAAACAATATCCACCCAACCTGGTGATTGGATATAAATTTACTAGCACAATCATTGGTATTATCTATATTTAACGTAACAATCTGCGAGGCAAGATGTGTCGAAATTAACGCTAGGGAAGCATAATATGGCCACGTCTGTTCCGCCATCACGCCTGTCACAGCAAGTGAGCTAATCATAGCAACAGAAAAGCCACTCAACCACAGCTTCGTTTTATCACCAAAGTGTATCGCAGTACTCTTCAAACCTATCAACAAATCATCCTTTTTATCCTGATGCGCATATATCGTATCGTAGATGAGCGTCCAGAAAATCCCCGCGCAATACAATGGCACACAAATTGTCGGCTCCAGATAGCCTCTCACAGCGCTATAACCCAACAACGCACCCCAATTAAACGTAAACCCAAGTACAAGTTGTGGCCAATAAGTAAACCGCTTGAAAGCCGGATAACTAAACACTAGAGATAAAGAACTGGCGCCTAGGAGGATGCTGTACCAATTTAACTGCATCAGGACAGCAAGCCCAGCGAATAACTGCGCGATTAAAAACGCGTAGGCTTGTTTCATTGACACTGAACCATCAACAAGAGGTCTATTGCGAGTCCTGTCAACTTTGCCATCAATGTCTTTATCCCAGATGTCATTCACTGTGCAGCCTGCACCTCGCATGATTATAGCGCCAGCGCCAAAAAGACTTAATAAATATAGGTCTGGGAAACATCCTGGTTGTGCAGCTGCAGCTATACTCCAAGCACCAGGCCAGTAGAGTAACCATGTTCCTATTGGTTTGTCCAGCCGTGCAAGGCGTAGATACGGTTGGATAGGCTTTGGTGATATGTCGACTAGCTTCTCGGCGATTTTCTTCTCTTTTTGTGGTTCATCGTTGAGGACATTTAATTTAGCAAAGTCGGATTTTTGGTATTGTTGATTCAATAAGTTGAATGTGGCACTTGGTTTAACCTCACAGAATGATTTTGATTTGAAACAGGGGAGTTTTCGTGCCGAGGCGATGCTTCGTAATAATAACATTTTTTAATTGCGCAATAATTTAGTTATCGAACATGTTTAGTATTGTTTTTTCCGGAAAACTTCCGTCACATTGCGGCGATTATTCAACTCTCTGTCGCGACGTCAAGGTTATGTCTGACAAACACGTTACTTGACTTTTACACTTTTACACTTTTTGCGCGGTTTGAATGAGCCATGAATCTTGGCCTTGACTTTAATTATTTGTTTATTGCTATTGTATGCAATTACAGGCACCGAAATAATGAATCAGGTTTCATTCATATGCTAAGCAGTAGCATAACAACAAACAAGTAAAGTATTTAGTTACTTTTTTCATGAATAAAACACTTTTAAAGAATGTAAAAATGATTAAAATTAATAAATTACTCACCACTGGTTTAGTCAAATCCCCTAATGTCCTCCATAAATCAGAAATTGTAATGAATCCAACCAATAACACAATGAAAAGTCCAACAAACTTGACTGAAATACAGCAGGCTAGCATTGTTCCAGTGAACATCAGCCAACACCACCATGATACACTGAAATCTGGAATTCTCAATGATGAAACTTTTACTGCCCCCAAAATGGATCCAACCATGAAGCACAAGAGTATTGGATCAAGTAGAATGTACTGTGTTAATGTTAACAAGCCAACATCTGCAATATTAACATTATTTCATTAATACATTAGCATTTATGTTATAAATATTGTTCTTACCAAACAATATTAACAATGAAGCAAATGTAGAGGCCATTAAACTCTCAGTCATCTCATCCACAGTCAAGAAAGTCATTGGGACAATTGTTGCACCCAAAGCAGTGCAAAACTTTAGAAAATTTGTAAAATTAATAATTTTTAACTGATAAAACTAAATTTTTTAAACTTACCACTCTCATTCCCAGATAACTAACATTCTCATATTTGTCACCTGGTTTATCAAAAGCAAAACTTCCATTATACCCAGTGAGATACCCAGATAAACCAATCAACATTTTGCCTAAAGGTGGATGAACATCAAAGAAGAATGTTCTGTTGATGTACCAAGAACCCATTTTACCAAAGTGTGTTTCATCCCAACTATTAACACAATAATAATATTTTAAATATTCATAAAAATTTGATTTACTTACCAAACATGATCAGGTTCTGCAATTTTATAGAATCTTGTAAATATGGTTAGTGCACAAATCACACTGAATATGATCCACCATGCTCTGAAATTAATATAAAATTAGTATTTTAATATTTGCATTAATTAATTGTGTTACCTTTCATTATTTGGTTGCATTTTCTTTGCCATTGTTTATGATTTACTAAAGTTTAGCTTCACTGACATAACTGACCTGCGTGCAAGTGCAACGTCAACAAAAACACTCAAGGAATTTGAAAAATGCCACAGGTAGAAGAGGCGAAGTTACCTGGCTTATGACCGGTTGGCAGAAGAGGAGATTATAACCTCTTGTTCGTGAATAACGGCATTTTCGTTTCGTATCTTTCTTTGCTTGCCAACGCTGCTGTTTGATGTTGTCATCACTTTAAATGGCAAAAAATAGTAATAAAATCCGCCATTTTGGCATAATTATGATAAAAAAGGGTAAAACTTATAAATGCATTGTTTTTTTAGAGACTTATAAAGACTTATAAATAAATATAAGCATAAAAAGGTTAAATTATCAGTGATTTTCAACATTAATGTACACAAAAACAATTTTTACGGTTTAAATGGTAAAAACACCGTCAGTAAATCCGCCATTTTGGCATAAAACCTTAAAATGCATTGTTTTTGCATAAAAATACTAAATTATCATCAAATATCGTCAATTTCGGGCAAAAAAACAATATTTTCGCATCCAATAACGCCGAACAGTTAATTTAACATGTTTTTGCTGTTTCTAACCTCAAATATTCCTTTCACAAGGTAATAAAGGTTAGGTATCTTTGGAAACAATATCAAATTAATTTTCGTGAGAATATATTTGAATGCACAGCACAATATACATATAAAGTATCACGACATATGTATAACAAAATCAAAATGAAAACCGTAAAATAATTGCATCTTCTATCAATGTATATTTAAAACTACTCTCTGTTGTTATATCATAAATATAAAATATCCTCCCATCGTCAATTGCAATCGTGAATATTACATATCCCCATCATTCTTCCACTTTTCGTTAGCCTCTCGTTTGGCGTCCGGTAAAAGCTGGCATTGCATGCCACCCAAGACATTACTGGTGGCCTCCGAGGCGATAATAATCGGTTTTATCATCGCCGTTGGTATCTGTCGCAGCACACCACCTACTGCACCAGTTATACCCTTTTGTTCTTTTTCAATCGAAGCAACACGGACGATATTTTCGGCAGTTTCACCAAAACCCTGGAAGTTTTATTATCAACAAAAAAAATTAACTAAAAAACAAATATTTACCTCTTTTACAACATTGTAAGCATTAGCTACACCTTCTCTGATATCCTGCGGTTGATTATACCTCTTTTTCCTGCCTTTACTTTTGATTTCTCTTGATCTCCCAGAACGACGCACACTAGGTCCAGGCGACATCATATCATACGCGGTTTCGGCTGTCAATTGTATCAAATTAATAAATCTGTTGGTTAATTCAAGCGCCGCCATTGCTGTAGATGTTGTAAAACTGTTTGCGCCACGTTGCAGGCCACGAACAATCCTGCCATCTTTCTGGTATTGTTCAATAGGCATCCAGATTAAATCCCTAACACCTTGGACTATAAAAACATTTTAAAAAATAATAAAATAAAAACAATTTTTCAAGTTTTTAAGATTTTAAAGACTTACAGAGCTGCACTAATGAATGAATTGGCCCAACACCACTCAAAACCGTGTGGATTTGATTCCTCTTGATATCATTCTTCCATTCTTGCGCAAAGTATTGAATCAATTTATCGAAACCAAGAATACCGTGATTATTTTCAAGTCGTTTCAAGGTGAATTCAACGTAGTTAAGTGATGCTATACCGATGATTAACGCTGCAATCGGGCCATGTTTCCATTCAAAGTTACCTTTGCTATGATAGTCTAATCTTATTGGCACTGGATTTACAAATGTCACTTTTCTAAACATAAAAAAACAATAAAACATAACATTTTTTTAAATGTTTTTAATATAAAAACATACCTGAAATAAAGCGGAGGTGAACTATCACTGGATGTCGATGATGTGTGCACAGTTTTCTCAACATTTGAACTCTCCACTTTGTCTTTTACGTCGTCCAGCAACAAAATCAAGTTTTCGTCCACCATTTTCTTCGCTTCAACATCATCAATCACTTCATCACTCGCAATTGTCATCACAGGCGGGTGATGTGTAGGTGTATTTGTTTTAGAACTACTCGACAAATCTTCAACTACATAAAAACAATGAAGAACATAAAATTTAAATTACTTTAACCAAAAAAAATATTTACTTTTTGAGTTATCTGTAATCATATCAGTGGCAAAATTCAACATGAATAATAAAGTGTCCTGTTCCAGATTTATTCGCAGTGGTAACAATCCAAGGACTAAAATGCATTCTTCTGCTTTCAGTTTAAGATCAGGTCTGATATGAATCAGCTTGATTGTTAACTGCAACATTAAAATATTAATAAAAATCAATAAAATAACATTGATTGAGATGAATTACCATGTGTGCGTGTGTTTGCCTAGGTCGAATATCCGTCGAATCCAAATACAACAACTTCTTAATCCGACTACTCACAAGCCTGTCGTGAATCTCAATCTGTGAAATCACAATCACTTGCCTCGAGGCTTGCATCGTGTGTTCCGGATAAATATCATGCTGAACTCTTACTTTATTCAGTTGAATATCAATCACAATATCATGATTACGGTTAACGCCGCCATTTTCTATCCAGTTCGCCTTCTGTTTCTTCTGTGGTTTACTCTGAAAACTAATCTCGCCCGTGTTACGATTTGTATACAACACAGCATTCTGCCCGTCTGAAAAATTAACTGTTTTCTTCTCGGATTTATCATCCGATGACCTAAAATCTCTCCCGGCGTATAATTTCCATTGCACTGTCATTTCACATAGTGTATAACGCATCACAGGCGTGGGGAAATCTTTCGGCGCTTTTAACACATCAGTTTTTCCGACTGGAATCGCAAAATGATTGTCGACAAGTCGTAGGGAGTCGTCGACTAACCAACGAATTTGAGGAAGACCATTCTTTGGCATTATACCCACACCTGCTTCATCACCAATAAAAATAAAGTCTTCGTCTGTGTCACTGCTGCGATTCGAAGACCGGAAAGTAATATCACCCAGTTCAGATGTCACCTGTGGTAGGGGTTTGTTTTCAATGAGTTGTCCTTCATCCGGAAAGAAAAACATCTTCGCACCTGGCAGATGAGGATTATTCGCACGTGGAACCCTCACACTTTCCTTCATAGCATCAACCAGCATTTCATTCACTTGCTGATGTTGACTGTGTGACAATTTACTTATATCCTGCGTTTCTACATTGATCAACTCCTGCTCCACTTGTCGCTTTGGACTTACATAATTACCAACCGTCGCATTCGATTGTTCCTGATCATTTAGATCACCATTCGTCGCGATGTAAGTTATCAACTCCATGAGTGCCCGTGCACTGTCCGCACAAGTATGTATCATGAACTTGTTGACCAGCGCACGTAAATCACAATTAGGAAAGGAAATATCGTTGATTTTCAAACTGATCTCGATTAATCCGACGTCTATAATACCAACGTAGTCTTTTTTCAATTCAATGGCGGCCGTTGATGGCACACCCTTTCGTGGTGGTAGTTTATCACTCAGAAACAGATTACAATCTTCAGCGATGAAGCGCAAAGTGGTTGTGTTCGCTGTTGTGGTTAAATGCGAAGACATACTCAACTGGCCCATTGTAATAACAGACCGTAAAGGTAGGTGGAGTGGTCGGTAATCAATCGCGCAGTCCCACAAGTGCAAATGCATTTCGGTTAACACATCTTTCGCGTGAAAGCCGGGAATCGTATAATCGTTGACTTTGAATAGATCTATCAATTGCGTTATCCATATGTTGGGGACCGGACACATGCGGTGTCTTAACGTGGCTTTATTTAAACCCAACGCGACGCGAACAAGCTTCACATGGTGAGTTTCATGATTCGCTTGAATTCTTACCGCGACTGAGAGCATTTCTCTATCACCGGCGCGATTACCGCTTGTTTCCAAGACGCCATTTTCTGATTTGTATATGGTAGGAAACAAATGGCGGCCGAGTGCGCTACCGATTTCTTTCAGTTGGTTGTTTTGACTAGTAGTTGAAATCATATCTAGGAATTACATAAGTAAAACGATGAAATGGCGTCAAAACATAACATAACCTAACTTTTACTTACCACTGTGATGTAGTTGAGCACCTTTGGATTGAACACAAACATAACCTAAATTTTCATCACCATTGTATCCACTGACAGTGAATAAACTAGCTTCCTCCACGCCGAGAAGAAACTCTGCTATTTGTTCCGGTATGACATTACCATCAACATCACGAACAGGCGGACACATCCGGATTAAACCTTTACCAATACGTAAATTGAGTGTGAGATAACTTTGACATTTGCGTTTGATCTGCTGCGGTTTCTTCACTGGTTTGTGACGCATATCATACGCAGAGTAAAATAATGTTGAGTTTTGTGGATCAAACTCATCGGAATCGTCTGAATCTGATTCTATACCAACAAAATCATAATTTAAATAAATCAAACTTTATAAAACTGTTTTTTTATAGGCTAACTTACCATACTTATTGCCACTTTTACATGTTGCATAAGTTTCCATCTTGTCAAAACTCTCAAACATGGCTGGTTGCATAACATTACCATCCGGACATTTTGACACCGGCGCACAAGGCTCCCATAACAATAAATCACTCAGGATGTGATTATACAACACTTCGAAGATATGCTTCGAAATAAATTGCACACTTGCCGTGGGAAAATTAAAATCCAAATGAATTCTTGTCGAACCAATCGTCGTTTCGATAAAATCAGACATTTCCGCTTTAGTTCCCGGCAGGACTAACTCTGCATTATCATCATCAGTCTGCGGACGTGCATGCGGTGTATCACTTTCATGAATTACACGTTTAGAACTAAACGGACCTTGTCTTTGCGGTGGTATAATTGTACCACAGGACATCGTCATGACGCCATCTTGATCCATCGATTCCTCAACTTCTACATCCAGTTTAACAACTGGATTGATTTTAATCGTCACCGTTGGAATACTGGATAATAACCCGTCGGACTTTCCAATGTGTAATGGCGTCGCTGTTTCATTCTCATGATAATAAAGATCCAATGTTTTACATTGGATTGTATAACTTTGACTCTCCTGATTACTTTGAATCTGCGTCTGCGCAGTCATATTTGACAGTTTCCCCGAAATAAACGCATTTCTTACATTGCGTTCCCACCATGGTATTCTCTGCAAGTCATTCGCCGGTCGAAAATCAGGAATAGGTATCCTCAGTTTCACCTCCATTAAATGTGATGATAATTTAATATCCATTATGGACTCCACTGTTGTTGCAAACGCGTCTGGCTTCGATTGTGTCGCCCAAACATTTACAGGTTTCTGTATTACAACTGGTGGATTTAGTAAGGCACTTAATCGATCGATGATTGTTATATCCACATCGACAACGCAAGTATCCAGCGTAAAATGAAGATCTGTCTTCGGTACATACGTCTTTCTATTAATACCGCTCTTTCTTGTTTTCTCAATATGTCGAAAACTCATCTTCATGCATGGTTTATTATGCACCGGACTGGCATTACTCACTGCGTCGTCTTTAAAGTGCAGAAGCCGTACGTAATTAAAAATTTCATCTTTAACTAAACATTCCAATAACTCTAGTTTTGCAGTTGTTAATTCGCCGGTTATTGAAAAAGCGCTTGATGTTGTAGTTTCGTGACATTCTATTTGAATCGGCGCGCCAATTAATCTAAGATGGCGGCGCCCGCATGCTTTCTCGAAGATTTCCTTACAATCATCAAAGTTACGCTTACCGTAACCAGCTGGTACTAAGTTATTAATAGTGTTGAAAAAGTGTTCCGCGCTGGATTGCATCTGTTTTACACTGGACGGAATCAGACCCGGAGTGTTACCATCATTGGTCATTGTTAGGATATCTTCGTGGAGTAACACTACAGCTAGTGAAGCTATCCGGATGTGAAAGTCTGAGATTTCTGCCGTAGGATCAGACTGTATACTATTAACTAAAAAATTAAATTTATATTAATATTTTAAATGCAAATGTTTGTTTGTTTCGCTTTTACGCGGAAACTACTCATCAAATCATCATGAAATTTTGTATAAATATTCTCCTGAGTATTGTGAAGAACTTAAGATACTTCTTCATTGATAATTATTACTTAAAAAAGGTTAAATAAGGAATCAAAGTTAATATAAACATTAAATTATAGTTATAGTTAAATATTTTAACCCCAGATGGCGCTGCGACGTATTATTAAGTCAAAGAAACAAGAAAGTAAATATTTTGAGGTTATAAGTATAGCAAATATATTTTAAACTTACATTTGCGTCTTGTTCGATGTGTAGTGGCTTCACTTAAAGTACTAGCCATCGATGAGCTTAAACTTGACTCCATACTACTGCTTGCGTTTGAATACGTACTATCCGCCATGTTTTCACCCGCATCCCGTGAATGCATCGGCAGGAAATTATCGTCGGTATCACTTTCTTCGAACTGCGCCGTTGACCAACCGTGCGCGCCTTGTAATCCTGCCGGTGCAAACATCGCAGGATTCAATTGACATTGCAGTTCTTGTTCGACGCGTTGATAATCCATCGCAGTCATTGGTTTCTCTGTGTATTTCTGTTTCGGCGCAGAATTACTAAAATTTATATAAATTTACATAAAAAATTTAATAAATATGGAATGTTTTTACTTTAAATCTTCACCGGGGTCTCCAAATAGCCCAGTTGCAATCTCCACTAAATCATAAACTTGTCTCGGTGATAGAAATACGTTCAAAGCGCCAAAAGTCATCTCTATTGATACTTTCGGACCGCTAACATGCTCGGACTGTTTTAATCTTATTTTAATTACTTGTTTGCCGATTATCTTCGCGAATAAAAGCACATTTTGCACTGGATTACTATCGTGACTCTCAGAAGTCACTTCTGATTTGATTTTTGTTTCGTCTTCTTTATACTGACTATCTTTCATCTCTTGAATCACATTCGTCACTAGGGAATTATCCTGTGAGTGCTGCGAATCGCTAAATTCGGTGTTACATCGCGCCGAAGTGAATTCTTGCGTCAAGAATGAAATTCCTTTGAGTGTGAAGTTTTTAGTTGTGAAGGAGGTGACAGTATAACCTTTGTTTTGTTCTCCTTTGTCACTTAATTCACTTGCTGGCGGATCCTCACCTGCTTCATCGGTGTATTCAATACTAAAAAATAATTTAAATACAATTTAAAGTACTTTAGTCACGGCCTTCGCCGTCTGTGAATAAATTCCCACTTTTCGGGTCTCGAAACCGCGGAAAAAGTGAAGTTTTAAAGGTGGTACAAAATATATTATAACAGTGTAAATAATAAACGCACCTATCAACTGTTGCAATTAACGCCACTCCTGTAGGGCTATCTTTCGGAAGACATTCAAATCTTATTGTTGTATTAACAAATTTTACTTTAACTCGACACAAAACTAAAAAATCACAAATTTTATACAAAAAATAAATAAATCTCTCTAAATTATGAGTAATTTACTTGATTCTATTGCTTGTGCAATCACTTCAAGTCCTTCCAGAGGCTGTGAAACATCCACAGCGTCCGCATCTTGTTTCAAACAATCTTCTGCGAGTTGCATCGAGTTTGTCATCGAGCTCCACATTGATTCAAACATTGAAGTAGCTAAACAAACAAAAAAACGCTTAAAATTTATGTTTTTTGATGTTTTGGAGACTTTCTCACCATATTCTACTCTCTGTTTAGGTTGCACGGTTATTTTAAGCCCGTGTACTTCAATATTCGTCGGATCTCGAAGGAACGACGTCCATGGAACAGTGAATTTCAGCTTGCCGATGTATCCGCTGACGAACTCCAGCGGCAGATTCTGTTTGTTCGCCAGCTCTTTGAGCGCCTGTAAAAAAACATTTTGCATTTATGTAATGCGTGTAATAATTGGCCACAATTCAAGTACAAAGTGCTATGACCGATCAACGATTATTACACAAGAAAAAGTAAACAAAAACAAAACATAATCAGTGTGGATATGAATTTAATTCTTTTGTTTTCTGTTTTGTTTATTGTAAGATGGCCGAAGACAAAAGATAATTGCACGACATTAATCGATCGCTGCGCGAAATAATTATTAATATTTAATAAACAAGCGTTATTGTATGTGTATGCTACCAACGCACGGTCACGCTTGTTATTGTTTTTCCGCATTAGCATACGTGCTGACGGTTAAACAAACTGGTTCCACGCGAGCCGCGAAGGCTTTTCTCCGCCGTTATATTTTACGCGCACCGAAATTTCTGAATAATGCATGATCAACTCTGTCTCGTGTCGCAGACACAACGTCAATGTCATGCGAATATGAAATCTAGGAAAAACTACACGATACCTAAATGCGTACTACTCACTTCCATATCAAGGCTAACATTTTCGATGGTACCAACGCCGTTGGTCAAGTCAACAGACAGCTGGTCGGAGGTGAGCTTTGTCTCCAGGAACTGGCCCAGGTAGTGCTGGATGAGGTAGATGCCAACGCGTTTCTTGACATTCTCAGTCAGGAAGTTTGATGGTATTTGCATGAACCAAGGCATCTTCTGGGCGAGCGCAGGCAGCTACACTTGTTTAATGCCGCGTGCGCGCACAAACTGCGACTGCGAAGTGTGCGCCTTTGTTTGCCACCGCGAGCAGTTGACAGAACTCAGCTGTACCACTGCGCCGTCGCACACAGAGCATTTTTTCCTGCTAATAAATGTTAATGGGACGTTTGTGTTCCGCGTTCGAATGCTTGGAATTGGCGGTGATTGAGTGGGGCATGCTGTTTAGGATAGGACACTACTTAAATTAAGCACTAGAATTTAACTGGGAGCGTTTTTACGCAGCATTTATTTCATATTTATTTGTTTTTATTATGAGCGTGTTGCCTTCGTTGTGCTGACTTGGAGTCGCGGTGTTATCAGTGTGGACACGTTCTGCTCACATTTTTTGCGTCTAATTTCGACTGTCTGGCTAATTTGCATAAACTGACAGATAAGTTTGTTTAGTTTATGTAAACTAGATATTGTTGATTACGCAAAAATGTAAATTGTTACAAATATTGGATAAATAACTAGTTAGGGATCAGCGAACGGATAGGCAACCAACAATACACGTGCGCCAACTCAATTTTGCCGAATAATATGAATATCATAAAATATTCGCACTTTTATGCATAATTTCTTGAATTATAATATAAATTACATACTTACTTGCTTATCTCAGCAGCTCTGTTTCCTTGTGAATATTTGCGATACAGGTTTTATTGTGGCATACGCATATTGCTGGTTGCCTAGCTTTTCATCACTTGACAGCTATTAAAATTCTTCAATATTTTAGAGTGATTGCAGTTACATTACAAAATTTAGTGTACATTTCAATAGACATAAGCAATAAAGCATTAAAAACAATAATTACTAATTAAAATAAGTTACATTCAAAAAAATTTGGCAAAGCCCATATATAATTCATGTTCCTACTCAGCTGGATTTTGTATAACAATTAAAATAAATTCCTTGTCTGGGGCCACCATGATTTCATGCTTTTTAGATCTTATTCTTAAGAATGTTAAATCATTAGTGGGATCCAGGTCTCTCACAACACTTCTAGCCTTGTCTGCAAGTGCACTTATCAATCCAGCATATTGCACTGTGCTGCTATTGTCTAATGTGGACTTGATAGGAATGCCTAGAATATAAAGGGTAAGTTATAAGATCAATACTTATTGGATACCTCTGGATACCTTCAGAATTGACTACAATTGTGCCCACCACTCCCTTGTGGGACTGAATCCGCTTCATGGTTTCTTCTATTTCATTTGACTGCAATTTAAATGTGTAAAAATGAGGTTTTCATGGTTTAAATTTAATAGATTACCATTGTGATGAGGCTTTGGAATTTTAAATGATTATTTTATGATTAATACACAGGTATGACACAGATGACAACAAACTAGTCGTGGGTTCAGGTGTAAAATAATAATCGCGTTGGTAGGTTGCCGACATTAGTAACAACGTCATTTTGGGGACTTTTATATTGTAACCAAACATGGAAAAGTGGGGAATTATACTATAGGTTTAAATAAAAACAAGTATTAAAAACGTTAAGTTTTAATAAATTTTATATAAACTGATATATTTTGCAATAAAATATAGTTAATAAGTGTATATTATTGCACAAAATTTATATAAGTAAACAATAATATACTAAAAAAAGAATTATTAATATATGAAATAATAAGTTCTAAATTATATCGTTATACGCCCAGTATAATGCGTATAAGTTTTACTTTTCTGGGGACATGTAATAATGTTTGTACATTAGCATAACCTTAATTCATCAGGCATGCGGAAAATCACAAACTTTAAAAACTAAAACACAAAATGAGTAGAAACAAAGAATTATTATCAAAAATAGGCTTAAGATTAGACGGAAGACGTGCAAACGAATTACGCAGAATAAGATGTAAATTAGGTGTGTTTGGTCAACCAGATGGCAGTGCTTATCTTGAACAAGGATTAACAAAAGTTTTGGCTGCAGTTTATGGACCACATCAGGTAAATAATTATAAAAACATCCACATTTCATTACAATCCACAATATAAATAAAACAGGTCAGAGGGAATAAAAGCAAAGCGCGTCATGATGAATGTATCCTCAACTGCCAATTCTCAATGGCAGTGTTCTCCACATCAGAAAGAAAAAAACGTCCTCGAGGTGATAGAAAATCCACAGAAATGTCTTTACATTTACACCAAGCACTCCTCTCCGTAATAAAAACCGAATTATATCCTTGGTCACAAATTGATGTGTATGTAGAAGTGTTACATGCCGATGGTGGAGTATATTCAGCCTGTGTAAATGCAGCAACTTTAGCATTGATAGATGCAGGCATTCCACTCAAAGAATATGTCTGTTCATGCACAGCCAGTTTAGCAAACAATGATATACCAATGGTAGACATAGCACATCAAGAAGAAATGCTTGGTGGAGCTACACTAACTGTTGCAGCAATGCCAATGTCTGGAAAAATAGTTCTCATGGAAATGTCTCAAAGGTTTCACATGGATCACCTAAGTAAAGTCATGGAGAAAGCCCTGCAGGGATGCAAAGATATAAAAGTTATCCTAGATCAAGCTATTAGAGATCATGTAAAAGATGTGGGATGTTCAACTGGCTGGGCGAACACGAATCAAAAGGTCGGTCGATAAAAAATTGTATTTTTAAAAAGTGAATAAAATATTTCATTACATATCTTGTTCATAGTTGTAGTATTAATAGAAAATCGTTATCTTTTATCTTACTAACAAGTAAACTTAATATTTAGATTGTAGTTGTTTCCAGCGCGGATATTTACACGATCGCTATAAAAACTTTAGACATTCTCCACAAAAAAGTACATAAAATTATTAACTTGTCCATGTTGTTGTGATTCATGCGAATTTTAGGCGTAGTGGTGTGAATTATTTCGCATCGGCTTCAGGGTGTCTCTCAAGAATCATCGCAACACCCTAAGAATTAAAAAAAAAATCGATTTTTTGTTTTAGTGAGTTTTTATAGGCAATTTTTGATGATTTTACCTGTCCACCTGCTGCACACGCAGCAACAAGTCCAAACTGTCCATCTTCTCTTACTAATCGATTAGCGGTGTGCATAGCAAGACGCACGCCGGTAGCAGCGAATGGATGACCAATGGACAACGAACCGCCCCAGTTGTTGAATTTGTTGATATCAGGAGCGCCGACTTTCGTCTGTCTGTTCATGTATTTCTGCGCGAACCAGTCGCTGTCCATTGCTTTCATGTTAGCAATAATTTGACCCTACACATTAGAAAATTATGTTTTTTTTGTTAATTTTAAATTTAAATTTAGTTTAAGTCACTTACAGCGAAAGCCTCGTGGAATTCAAATACATCAATATCCTTTAAATCCAAACCAGCTTTCTGCAAAACAAGTGGTGTACCATACGCAGGACCAAGCAGTAATTGATCGAAAGGATCCTGTGCGACGTACACAAAATCTCTTAGATATGCTTTGGGTTTAAGTCCAAGTTGTTTAGCTTTAGCCTCGGTGGTGATCAGACAAGCGGATGCACCGTCAGTCAAAAATGAAGCATTCGCGGCGGTTACAGTACCATGCGGCTTAATGAACGCTGGTTTCAATTTGCCTAGTTGTTCGGGAGTTGACACACGAATGCCGTTGTCTTTTTCAACGGTTTTATCGATGCCAGGAATCTAAAAATAACAGAATATTGAAATTTATTTATGTTTTACGTGTAATGTAATTTAAAACAAGTTTTATTACCCTGAATGGAATTAAATCGGTGAAATATCCCTTATCGGCTGCTTGTTGTGCCAAAGTGTGTGACCTAAGTGCATAGTCGTCTTGTTCACGACGTGTAGCATTGAAAGCAGCAGCTAGACGATCAGCGGAATGACCCATTGTCTCACCAGAAGAGAATTCGGCCACAGCTGGTAACTGTCAATAGATTTTTCAATAAAATTAATAAAAATAATTAAAATAACAAGAGGAAAATTCATACTTCTGGGACAAAATAATCTGGTCTAAGCTTTGCTAACAATTGCAACTGTTGCATTGGTGTTTTGGCTTTGTTTGCTTTGAGCATCAGACTTCTCATCTTCCTGTTATGTCTGATAGGTACATCAGACATGAATTCCACACCACCGGCCAGGATTACATCATAGGCACCGGAAGCAATGTATCCGATTGCTATAAATTGTAAAATATAAAGAAATTATAAAGAATTTATGAAGAAATAGTTAAATTACCGGTAGTCATGGCTACATTCGATGAAATACAGGCCAAAGTCACGGTGTGCGCTGGAATTTTATCACTGTAGCCGGCAGCCAGAGCAGCTTCACGTGCAATGTTCGATGTTTTCACTTCCTGGATTACTGTGCCATAGATAATGTAATCAATCAACTCTTTTGGAAGACCAGTTTTTCTTGCAATGCCTCTGTTTTAACAAAAATGTTTCATTTTAGTGTTATTGGTGATTTAAGTTAAAAGTTTTAAGTTTTACTGTTTAAAACCCATAAAATATGCTATATTTTGTTGATTTCATTTAAAAAAACTCCATAAAAGCAAATTTTTGAGTAAATTATTAACACTATTGCAATATTTTGCTTAATTTCTTATTAAAAATATTTAATTCTAGCATTTTTAGTGATTCAAATTAAAAACTTTTAAGCATTTTAAGTGTTACGGCATAAAAACACGATTAACAACCAAAATTTGCATGAATATGTGTAAAATAATGAGTTTTTTGGGTGCTTTCATTATAAAATTGATCAAAAGACCCAAAAAAAATCTTTTTTTTAACTAAATTAATAAAACTATTTCACTCTACAACCTAATTTCTTACAATAAAGCTTGTCTTGCAAGATCATGTGGCATCAAACTGGAATAATCAGACCCAGAAGTAAGAAAAGGTGTGCGAACACCATCAACAAGAACAATATTCTTCCCAGTTTTGTCCGGAACGGTCTTTTTGGCATCTCGTGTACCCGTGGTAGACAAACACCTAACGCCTGCGAAAATATGCATAGTATAGATAGTATTCGGATGTTTCCACATAGAAAATTAAGGTTTTGATATTGTGGACTTTGAACTATTCACTTGATAGCTCAGCTATGTACATACCAGTTTGTTGTAGAGCTAATTGCAAAAACGAAGGTGTTTTCACGAGGCTTTTCGCTAAATACGACGCCATATCGAATGAAGTTGAATAAATACTGAATTATAATAAATTAAAACGTAAAGCAAAGTAAAATCTCGAACGCCGAATATAACCACTCACACACACGTAGAGTAGATATGCAGCAGCAACCGTCAGTACAGACTAGTGACTAGTTCGTGGACTTGTTGCGAGAGTGTCTGGTTGAAATCAACGTGTCGACTTTGTACTCTGGCTGTGAATGTACGTGCAGTCATTTTGTGTGAATATGAGTGGAAGTACACAGTGTGCACTTGTTTTAATGGCGAATATTGTTTGGTGCTGTTCCTCGTGCAATATGAGTTTGCCGATTTGCGACTCGTGCGATAAAGTTATTAAATTTTCAGTGTTTTTGTAAACAAATCGAATTTGCACATGTGGAATTAGTGTTAGAGTTCAGATTTGGTTGCAGTACATGTGATGATATGGATTTTTCTGATTATTCAGGCAAAGTCTATTAGAATAACTGATAATGGTTCACCAAAATAAATTTTGTGAATTTATTATGACTTGTTTGGTTTTTATCAGTTTCCTACATAATTTAAATATGCATAATAAATAGTATTTTGTTGGTACGTGTTTGTGGCACATAGTTGTTTGCCACATTCTTGAAATTTTGATAATTTACTTTTAGTGATAAATGAATTTAAAACGCTTGAAACAAAAAAGTTAATATTTACGAATTTCTGACAATACGATTAGGAACTTATGAATTTTCGAAATTATATATAGTTTGTGTGGTTTAATAATTATTTTAAATCATTAATGATTTATAAATTGTTGTTATAAAGCAGCAATTGTTAATTTTTAAATTAAAGCGCAGTTTTGTTCTGTCAACGTGAGTTTATTCGTGCTGCGCATGCGCAGCTCCTGGCTGTCAACTAAGTTTTTAACGATTTTGAGGATGCGCACTCGTATTTATTCTCCCTTCCCACAGCAATAAATGTTTCTGGGCACTACCTATAGCAGCCATTTTAATATTTCGCCTACTTCGGAGGTGTTTTACGTTCTAAGTGCACTAAAATCTACAATTTAGACTTAGCGGATAAACAAAAACAAAAGATGGGCGATAAGTACGACTCCAACGGTGAGTACGCCAATTATTCAGGCGATTTCAAACGCGAAAGGCTAGATATAAGCGATGCAGATAGTCGTGAATGTCGTGATGGGGTCGATGAAGAAAATGAAGAATCCAATCCAGCATCACAGAAAGTCAGCGAGTACATCAGCGAATTGCTTGCTGAGAAACAAGGGCTGGATCCGAACAAATTCGCTAATGTATTCAGACTTATTGATCAAGGTTAGTAAACATGCAATAAAACACTTATACTAAACTTTCACTGATAACAACAATTACAGAAATAAATAAAGCTACTACCCAAGGGCGGATGCCATCTAAAGAGTTGAAATACGTGGATATTTACCGAGAAAGACCTATTAAAGTAGCAGTAAAAGTATTAGTTCCAGTTAGGGAACATCCAAAGGTATAATATTGATTTTTCAAGTTTTACACAAACAAAAACATAAATATTTCATTGTTTTTAGTTCAATTTTGTTGGTAAACTACTGGGCCCCAAAGGAAACTCAATGAAACGTCTCCAGGAGGAAACCCTGTGTAAAATGGCTGTTCTAGGAAGAGGATCAATGAAAGACAGACAAAAAGAAGAAGAATTGCGATTATCCTGCAACCCAAAATACGCACATTTGTCAGATGACTTGCATGTGGAAATATCCGCATTGGGACCACCAGCTGAAGCTCATGCAAGAGTGGCATATGCTCTCGCAGAAGTCAGGAAGTATCTAATTCCAGACAACAATGATAATATTAGACAGGAACAGATGAGGGAAATGGAAATCATGACATCAACTACACCAGAAGAAGGATCGCGGAGTTCACGCCGTACAGCACTTATAAGAAGTAAGTAATAATGATTTTCATTAATAAATTAAACCAAAGTAAAACAATTTTTATTGATTTAGCTGCAATGCCAAGACCTCCAGTCCAAATGCGCACAGCAACTCGCACTCCAGTCATCACCCCACGCGTAATGCCAGCAAAAACAAAAATCTTATCCATACTAGATCGCGCCCGTATCGCCATGGAAGAAACCTACGGCTTTGAGGAACCATTCGAGAGCTCCGAGCCACCATACAGGTACAGTTCACCGCCTCCAACAACCCACTATCGCTCTTCTTCATCATCTCACCACTACGACACCGAGTATGAACCCAGCTACTATCGCGAGAGCTCCTACGGTAAGTCCCACCTAATAAACAAATACCTATTATTCATTTTCTAGGTGCAACCAATTTAATTAATTTAAACAAAAATGCCCTTTAATAAACCGTCTCTAAACCATCGTGAACACTAAACCAAAAAAGAAAAACAATCTCTGATTACTTTAAAACATGTTTTAAGTTTGCTATAATGTTGATTTAAATTTAAAACGCAAAATGTACGAATAAATGATGTGTGTATGTGTACTAGGAGAAAGTTCGTCGCACCGTTGGAAGCCGTACAAGGGCTCGAGCGCATCGAGCTCGCGACACAGTGAATCATCTCGTTATCGTTCGTCGCCGTATACGCGCCCCGCAAAATAAACAACATATATAATACTATATATAAAACAAATCAAGTACGAGTATATACTTAATTAACACAAGTGTTGCTGCTGGTTAGATTTTTACAGAGATAAATTTAACGTATAATAACCAGACATTGATTAAACGTACCAGAAACTTTTGTTAAACGTAAATAATGAATGTATTTAATTTGATCTTCGGTATTGAGCATAATCACTGTGTGTTATTGTAAATTGGGCTATTCTCTAAGCCAACTTAGTGCTAAACCAAGTAAATTTTAACCTGTTTTCAAGTTGAACTCATACAACTTACAGAATAGCCCTCGTAGTGACTTTTCATAGGATATAATTAAACATGAAGTATAGATTGATCTAAGATATAATCCCAAAATAATTTTGTCTGAGTGGTATATGTCTTAAACGCAAATTAAACGTTATTCGATTATATAAATTATGATTAAACAGCAAACAAACGCAATGTGTAATAATGTGTAATCACAATATTTAGGGTATGATTTAATATCGTTTAATAAATCGTTTAAACCGTTTAAATGGAAAGGTACAGTATAGTTTAAAAGATAAATTGCATGACATCTGAGTAAATCATAATAATAATACTGTAACAAACACAAAACAAGTTATAAATTAAAGTTTATTATAAAATAAATTGTGCATGCATAGGTAATTTAAAAGAGCAGGAATTTTTAAATCTAAAATGCAGTTTTTAATGATTTTGAGACGTTTTACAGGTTTTTAAATATAAAAGTTTGGTTTTTATTTTAAAAGCGTGTTTATAAGTCTTGAATAAATAATTTAAGTACAAAATTTGAATGTTTTTTGAATTCATTGACCGAGTTTTGGTTGTATTGATCCAATGGGTCCTTTTCTAAACTTCCAATTATTTTTTAATTCATATTTATCGGTTTTACGTGTTAGGGCGCTGCGGATTCGTAATCTCCTCGCAATTTTCTTTGCGTCAGCCACACGATGTGCTTTGGCTGCGATTCCATTTGGTCTGGATGTTATTTCATCAATGCATAATATAATTACGCAGAATATAACAATTAAAGTCTGAAATTATTTTTTTACAGCTTAATTTAATTTCTTTTTGTAGAAAATATTCAATATTTAACTTACTTTCTTTTCCATTTTGTTTGTTTAATTTAATGTTGTTTGTTTAGTTTAATGAGATCGGTGCGGTGAGTGTACTGAGCGCATCAACCATCCAAGCCGTTCTTTTATATTGAAAGCACGCAGTTGTTGGGGTAAGGTAATTTCCTTATTTTCTTACCTGCGTCTGACGCATTGTTTGTCCAGTCGGGGGGCTATCAGGTGAGTCACTGGGGTTTTCGACGTGGTGAAATTAAACGAAATTAAATTCGCGATCGTATTACGGAGAGGTATGTGGATATTGTGGACAGTTAAATGACCTTGTTTCGAACTTTAATGAGCGTACATCGACATGTAATGATGTATGAGTACATTAAGTACTTCTGGTCGTGAATTATTTATAAAATTTGTACTTTTTTCAGTTTATGAAAAATTGCATGAACAATGAGTCACAGAAATTGTAATTATATCATTTTTTGAGTCATTATTGCTGATACAAAATGATTTGAAAGTTGTTTTTAATTATTTATACGTTTTTTTTTTCTGTTTTAATAAATGCGTGTTGTTATCATCATGAAATTTACAATTTATTATACACACGCAGAAATTTATTTCCCTAGAGTCTAGGTGAATGCTAATAATAAAAGCAAATTTGATGTTGTGTTTTTTTTTGGGTTGATTTATACGTTAGCATTTTATTTATGACATAAATTGCAAAAAATGTATTAATTTAAATCAAAATTAATGACAAAATGCAATATCTGGACTTGTTTTATTAGTCTTTTCGATTTTAATTTTATTTTCTTATTTTTGTTCACCTGTTTTCAGATGTAATACATTTTCTCTATATTGTTTTACCATCCAAGCGTTAACTGTCCTAAATAAATATTATCCCAAGTAATGAAAAAATCCACTTCTTTGAATAAACACCTACGCGGTAAATAAACAATTGCTGTACCCTTCGATGCACCGTTCTTGTTTCTTCGTGTATCACACTCGTCATGTAATCGCATATTTATTGTGTAAGAAACCTGCTATAACTCGTGAAGTAATTAACATATTTTAAAGTTCTCACAGTCATATTGTAGTTTAAAAGATCTTTTATGCAATGCATGTCATTGTAATCCTGTTCCCCTTTCGGAAGTGCCCTAAAATGCCCTTTCAAGATGGGCATTTTTAGAAGGACTTGAAATCATGGTGTGGGAAACGCCCTGTATCTTGTGAGGGAATTAATATTTTTTGAATTTAATGGAGTCATATTGTAGTTCAAGAGACCCTTTATACTATGTGTACGTTTTTGATTTTCTACCCCTTTCAGAAATGCCCTAAAATGCTCTTTGAAAATAAGCCTTTTAACTTGTAATTTGAAAACATGGTGTGGAAAACACCCTGTATCTCGTCAATAAATTAATTTTCCTTGAGTTTCTTACCGTAAAATAATAGCTTAAGAAATTATCTATACCATGCCTATGCTTTCAACCCTCTAATTCCTTTAGAAATGGTCTGAAACGCCCTTTAAATATTAGCCTTTTATTTAAATTTTAAAACGCTATATGGAAAACGCCCTGTATCTCGTGAACTAATTAACTTTTTTTGAGTTTTTAACCGTAAAAATATAGTTCTTGAGATCTTTTATCCTATGCGTATTTTTTCATCGCTCTACTCTCTTTGAAAGTGCCCTAAAATGGCCCTCAAAACATAGCATTTTTATTAAAATTTGAAAACATGATCCAAAAAACGCCCTGTATCTCGTGAACTAATTAACTTTTCTTGAGTTTTTTACCATCATATTATAGTTTAAGAGATTCTTTATATTATTTATATTTATACAATCTCCTAACCCTTTTGGAAATGCCCTAAAATCCCCTTAAAAATTGACTAATTTTGTCCAATAAATTTCATTTTTTGGTCGAATAACAAGGTTGAACTTATACTCTTAATAAATTTTTTGGTCGAAGAACAGGGTCGAACTTTTTCTTAAAAATTTTTGTTTGAAGAACAGGGTCGAACTTTTTCTTAAAAATTTTTTGTTTGAAGAACAGGGTCGAACTTTATTCTTAATTTTTTTTTTGCCCGAACAACAGTGTCGAACTTTTAAAACAAAAGTTCTGATCAAAACTGTCGAAACGCGAAGATTAAATGCTCATTATCTCGAGAACTAAGAAGGCTAGAAAAAACAAGAATGTCATATTCTTGATCCTTGAACAATTCTCTAGCAGATGGCATACTCTTTGTAAAATGACCAAATTTGTATAAAAAAATTTAACGAAAAGATTTTGTCATAAAAAAGGCAAAACTTTTCTCCTTTTTTTATTCAAAATTAAAAGTTGGAATTTTGAAGTTCTGATTGCGGATTCAGAATATACTATTAATTTTGAACCATAAATGTAAGTAAAATTTCTGTCTATCATTTTTTGTTTAGGCCCTATTAGGTTTTAAAGATTAAATAGAGCCCATATTACTTTAAACAGTTATTGTATCCTGTATCTTTTAAACCGTTAGTCAAATAAAAATTATTTATTAAAATAATCTCTTTATAAAATTGTTCTCTTTAATAATATTTAATAAAAAAGTTGATTTTTTCAATTTCCTGTGTAATGTTTTTAATTATTAAAATTTTGGCGGAGGCGCCTGACATTTTAATTAATATTTTAAATATTTATTAAAAACTAATAACACTCTTGTATAGAAAGGCAATTAATTTGTCTATTTATACATCTTTTGATTTAATTACACTAAGGATACACTAAGGATCTAGATGGCTTTAAGTAAAATGTGTACTCGCAGCGAGTCTTAATTTCCAATTATCTTGGAAACTAATAGAGATAAACAAAAACCGAAAACACTATCATGCTCAGCATAAAATTGGAGATAAGATAATATTAAAAAGATTCAAATATAAAATTTGATTTTCAAATTTTCCGACACGATTTTCTCGGAAAGTAATAAAGTTAGCGAAGAATTTTCTTCAGTTTGTTCATGTCGTGATAGGGATTTATAAAATGGCAGATTTAGTTTTTCCATTTTCAAAAGTTGACAAAAAAGCACTTGAAATAGTGAAGAGGTTACACTTGACTATTTTTCGCCTCAAAAATTATTTTTTATGCTAGAGAAAAGTTAAAAACGCCAATCGGTCCAGGTTTCCAAGGGGATGAACAATATTCTGTCAGCTTTTTGCTAACATCGATATTTTGGAAAATAAGTGATAATTTCAAAACGGATTAAATAAAACCACCCTTCCGATTTTAATGAAACTTTCTAACTAGATGTAGAATGATGCAAGGAATCCATAAATTCAGGTTTGATTTCGATATCTTAATTAGTTTTCCAGTTATTGACCATTTCCATTTATTACATAACTATTAAAAAGTAAACTTTTTCAAGCGTTACATAATATAAAAAATTATCCAGAACCCAAATCCGAAAATCATTTTTCTTTACCTCTAATAGTTTGTGTGCAAATTGAGAAAACCGTATTTCTGATTTTTCCCATCATTTCAAAAGGAAAAAAAAATTATTAAAACTTAAACTTTTTATTGCAGATTTATCAAGAAAACGTAATTCTGATTACTTTATTCTAGTAATATTGTTTTATCTAACCATTTTTTCATACAGTAATCACACTTTTTAATATATTACTAACACTTTTAATACCTAACACATACAATGCAGAAAACAAACATTTTAAATTCACAATTTAATTACACATTCCCCAAGAAAACCAAAATACGATCACACGTGGTATGTGGAACTGTTACGCCATTCGATTACCTAATATCATTCCAGGGTTCAAATTTCAAAGGTCGATTTAATCATTCCACGTACATTCTGCATCCAAACCTCCAATACTCGTATATGCCCGGACATAATCCCGGATCCCTGAATGCACTTGTGGTTAGCAAATTTATCGCCTCAAATCAACATCTTGAGACCTACAATCCCACATGTTACCACTGTGACATATTTCCCAGAGGCCTCTTGTATTATATGACTACCTACTTCCTGACTTTAATTAAAAGAGTATAACTAAATAAATTGATTCAACTGTATCATAACCTCAAATAAACGTTTTTTTACCCGGTAGGTCATCATTTGCTCCCTGATATTTTCCGCAAGATTTATTTATATCTCCAAGAATGCCCACTGAATGCTTTATACGCTTTATATCTCAATTCCCAACACGCACGCAGGCGAGGGGTGTCACCGGCATCGTCTGGATTCCATTTAGGAATTCGCCGCCACCGCCGCCGCTTTTTCCTTTTCTCGCCTGTTGTTGTATTGAAGGCGTTTCGGGGGCTATTAGTTTATGGGAATTGCGATGGATATAAGAATCGGAGGCGGTACATTGCTGCACGGGGCGACAAGGACAACGCACCGACGATCCTGTGTCCTTCTGCCTGGAGCAGATGTGCGCGGCGGCGGCTTTTATGTAGTGCCCGTTTCCATGGCGACCGCATGTCGCATGGAAATTGCAAACAAAGATTGGGGACCTCGAACTATTCGCAGCGAGTATTTACAATCAGTTCACAGTCGACGTGGTAAATTTATTCCGAGTTAAATTTTCAAAACAAAAAAATAAACAAAGTTTCGTTGTTATTTACTAATGAATTATTTAGAGGAATAGATGAGCAATGGACATAAGTTGAAGGATAAAGATAAACTTGTGGGATTATTAACCAGGATGGTATATTGTTTGTTAATTAATTAGGATGCATACTTGACTCGGAAGTTTGTCAATATTGTTAAAGGTGGTTGCAAGTCCTAGGGAAATTGGAAAGCTACGATAATGAACTTATAATTGGGTTATGCGTTAACATCAAAGTGTTAGGTATAGCCAAAGTGTAGTTTGATGAAGAACATATATGATTAAATTTATTATGAAGTAGATAAATGAGAAATATAAGAAAATCATTGAAATTTCCACAAAATTATAAATATTTTGACAGAAAATAACAAAAACTTTTTTTCAATGAAAGAAAATTGCAATATTTAGAAAGCCACCTTGTTTTGTTAACCTCTAATTTAAGCTAAAAACTCAATACTGACGTCACTTCCTCTATCAGAGCTCAAGCAGATAAAAATTGATTTTTTTGTTTATTTAAATCTTAAATGTGCTTAAACCTTCAATTCTTCAATACAACACGTTAAAAATATAAATAAATAATAATTTATATAATAAAATTACAAATATTATTGTTTATTAATAAGACAAAAGATTTTAGCATTCATTTTTGTAAAAATCAATTTTATTTCACTTTGTAATTCATTTACAATTGAATCCTTAATGAATTTCAAACACTATAATCCTATACCGGTTCACTTTAATTAAAGAATAGTAAAACGCTTAATTGCACCTCCAATAAGCTAGAAATACCTTAACGGTTTCGAAAATTATACTCCTCCTCACCTCTAGAACTATATTTGCTAAGTGTGGTGCAGACGGGCGACGCCTGAAATGTAAATGTCGTGCGCGAAAGCGCGATGAATAATTAATCAAGAGTTTTAATGACGCACCATTGCATGCAGTTGTGCACAACAGGCTCAACGTGGCACACTTAAGGTGCGAAGGTGTTAGAGGTAGTGTTTGGTGTGGAACCAAGACGTCAGAAAGCAGCTTAAAATGTTATGCATGGAAAATCAGAATTAAAATACAAAATTGAAATAAAATTAAATGACAAACTTAAGAAAAATAAAGTAGTAATACAATAAAACATAAAAATATAAATTTATTGCATTTATGTAAAATTATACACTTTATTAATTTTCATTTTTGTTTAAACATTAATTAACGTCGTATAGTTACATTTGTTTTATATAAAATCATCCACAATGACATTTTTAAGTGGGTAAGCAAGTTTCCTAGTCGTTCAACATTCATAAAACAAATTTATTACAGTAATAAAGGTAGTAATTAAATAATAAAGATGTGGACATTTATATCATGTAAAATTGTAATTTATTGCTTTACATCAAAAACTTTTTATCTAAAGTTCACCCCTGTAGTCGAATTAATCATAACCACAATTATAAAATTTTCAGCCCAGCAATTTTCCATGTGCCTCTCTGTGGATGCAAGTATCCTGATCGCCATTTTCCCATTCCACTTCACTCTGTTCACCTCTTCCGCATTTTACCTCTTAAGTCCAAAAGAAGCAACCATGGCACATCCGCACATGGCTCATAATATTAATAAACGTAAATCCTAATGCTTTCCTCTTCTTTTTTCTTATCCTTCAACTTTGTCCGCCCATATTCTTATATTTTGCTTCGTAACTTTGCGTTCTTAACTTTTCCCGCTTTATTATCACGTAATAAATGCCCGTGGATTTCGTAATTTACCGCACCACCTGTTTTCCTGCTGCTTATTCAGCTCAACGCACTGAAAGGAAACATAATCCACTTTTTTCGGGTGAATTAAGATGGCGTTTAATTTTAATGGAACTCCGGTGACTTCGTGTAGATATTTTTTTTAGCGGAAAGGAGTCAAAAGATAATTAAATTGTTTTTTTTTTGTTGTTGTGGCCAAAATTACCTTTGTCGTGGGAAAAACCAAAGAAAATTGAATCGTAAAAGGATAAAAATGCTGATGCAGAAAAGGGTCACATCGAAAGTCATAAACTTTATACCTTTTTCTAACCTAAAAGCAAAATCTATTTTATGACTACCAAAAATACCATGTTTTCTTAAAAAATAACTAAATATAACCAAGATTCTCTTCTGTTTATTTCTAGGTTATGTTTTATTAGTGTTTAGATTATATCCTGACAAATTCCATAATAAATTTCGTCGACAATGGATGCGTCCCCTGTTATCCGCACATTGAGCATGAAATTACGTCTGAAATATGGCGTTTAACAGGGGTCCTATTAAATAAAATGATTATAACGCGTTGCGAAAACCTTCAACGGGCCAATTCCTACTCTAACAGCACTAGTCCTTACTAGTTGGACGATAAACATGGCGAGGATCAACAAAAACATTGCCGCTCCAAGCGGCTTACATTAGACGCGCACAAAAAGCGAGGGTCCTAAGGCAATTTCCTGCAAATCCAGCGGTATTGAGAACCGGGCAAAACGAGAGTGTAGAGTGTGGTTAAAAATGAGGTAAATAGCGTGGAGTATGTTAGTGGTTGTAAAAACAGGAGCGGTGCTAAGTAAATGTCTATCACCTTTTAGTGTACCTTTTTTTTCAATCTCAGGAAAAAGGAAAAAGGAAAACAGAAAAGATTAAAATATGTTTACTTTAAAAGAGAATTCAGGTCATTTCATGAGTTGCCATTAATTTTCTTATTCGAAATAATCATGAATATGTAAGTAAATATTAACCTAACCTAACTTAACCTCACTTTTTTTCTAAATTTCATAACCTAAGTAAGAAATGTCAATGTCAATGTCATTTCTAGTTACTCCCCGAGTGGTCACGCATGTCGTGTTAATTAACAGAGCAAACAAACTGTATTTGCGAAAGCAATATCCAACAAACAAGAGCACGAGTGGAAGAAAAAGGTTTCGTGTTCCCGCTTCACCCGCACGTTCCACTCGGTGGATAAAGCCCCCAGTGAGGATTATGCAGTATCGCCCAATACTCGCTGAATCACTTGAGCTCAATTATTTACTTTGACTTCGAATCCGGTGTGGGCTGTTCTTGTGTGTGCACACAATCCGATCAATATACGTAAATAGGTATCTCTAAACGCCAACAAGTTTAATGTGGTGAAAAGGCAAACATGATTTGATACACGTGAATGAAACTATTTTAAAGATGGATATTATAATAATTTGTTATTTTTAAGTATTTTTTATTTATATGTAAATATTGAATGGTTTTACTTTTCTTTATAGTTTTGCATTTTGTTTGTTTTTTTATTGTCTTGGACATTTGATAATGTTTGTCTGCAGTGCTTCACGATGTGGTGTAATGAATCAGACAGATTAGTATTAAATACAAAATCAATTGTTTTGGTTAATCCAGGAAAAGGTATTAACGGAAAACGGTTTATCAGCTGGTAATCCATACCGGCGTTAATTTCGAGATGTAGGAATAATGCTATTATCTGAGCTATAGATTGCGGTATTATGCTATAAATATCAGTGTTTTGGTAATTATTAGAGACTAATCTGATTTGGCACAATGCGCTACCAAACGGATAATAAACCAAAATCCGCCAATATATCAAAAATTAAACAAAAGAAAAAAATAGATTTTGTGATCTCAGATTTCTAATGTAAAATATTAGTTTATATGATAATGCTGAGGATGGGCTATATGATTTTGGAATCAATTTTATTTGAAAGAAATATTACTATTATCCAAATAAAATATTATTCTAAAATCCATATCACATTAAACATTAACACACATTATGGATATAAATACAAGCGGCTAACTACAATGAATTGGCCCAAATCCAAATTGCATCAAAGCTGACCAAGTCATGCTCTGCTCCAGAGATTAAAGATTTTTCTCATCGAAATAAATGTCGCTGTAATAGCGTAACGAAATGGGTCATTATTCCGGATATAAATATATCTGCGACGCGCAGAATTGAGCATTACAGCCATTTCAAATAACATTTTCTGTTAAAGACATTGATATCATACAATCAAACCGATTTATTTCTTAATTCTAATATTATGTATTAAATTATATATCAGAAAAAAATTTAGCATGCATATTAAATATTTAAATATTTATATCAAAAGAGAATCATCAAGGTGATGGTTTTCTATATAATAAAAGTAAACACATGAAATAAAACACATTTTTACGTCTTAACTTGCGGCTGACTGCGTGACTGTAGTATAAAGTATTATTAAATTATTTACGAGGCATTTGACTACATTATTAAAAAAAAGCCTACGTTAATATCATGCTTCAATCGATCAACACTTTAAATTTCAATAACTTACGTTAAATATTTCAAAGCAGTTAAAATCAACAACTTGTTTACTAGAACTTGTTGTTGAACCGCCATATTCCTCTTTTCACATCGCCATCTTGTTGACGGCTTTATAAACTGCACAATTTCGCATGCAACTTGCGCTTGAGTTTCTAATAAAGTTTTGATAGCATTGGCTAGAAATTGCAAAGTCGATTCAGTACTGCCACTAGTAGGGAATTGAAGAAGTTGCAAACGGATGTTACAAGTGTTTCATTCCAGCGTTCATCCGGGAAGCACAACAAGTGCCTGGGTAGTCAGTTCCAAACAACTGCAAGCATGTATGCAAAGGGTTCTGCATGGGATCATTTTCAACGTTAACATGAAAATAAACTAGGGTGGAATAAATGAAGAGGAAAAAAATACAAATATTTCAGAATACAACATTTAACATTTTTTTTATTAATACGTAATTGAATTCCTTTTTTTTAAGTGTTTTTTACTATAATATTTTTTTTAAATTTTTTAAACATTTTTCTGAAGAGAAAATTTTTATTTTATTTTTGCAAATATTTAAATATCTATCTTATATTACAAAGATTTATGACTTGATATTCATCTGAAATACCTTGGTCAACGCATGCGGCGTAACGCGACACACACTTTTCCCGCTTTCCCGCTTTCCCGCTTTCCCGCTTTCCCGCAATGAACGTGGTGCGCGCCTTCGCCGAGCGCGAAACAGCGACGCAGCTTTAGTCGTGGCTCCGATATCATGACGAGCGCGGCCGCCTCCGCGCCACCGCCGACCAGCTTCCACTAGCAGCAGTGCGTCGCGACGCAAATGTGTGTGCGGATGCCTTGCATCGCTCACCTGTTACACGTCACACACACCGCCCGCGATACGTAAACCTGAGTGTTTCATATATACAAAAACAATGCAGACCAACGTGCACATCGATACCAAGAACTACAAATCGTCACCGGATCATCGTCTTAAAGGAACAGCAGGATTCACCCAGCGGCAATTAGAGGTAAGAATTATTTTTGGTATTTTTAGTGATAAATTTGAGTTTTAAAAAAGCTTCATTTAAAGCTTGAATGTGTATTTTGGTTAATTAATCAAAGCGTGGTTCAAGTGTAAGCTTTCAATTAGCGATGAATAATTTGCATTTATTACGTGTCACAAATTCATTTATATTCAATTGAGTGGAATTTAAATGAATGAAATTTATTTCATATTCAATGATGTGTTTTTAAGGATTTACTTATGACTAAAGAAATAAATTTAAGAAAAAAATATGATTTGACAGTTTTGTGGACGGAGAAGAGAAGAATAAGACAAATAAGAATCAATCAAACGTGTTTACAATGCCAATTAACTTCGACTTCACCTTTTTGTTGCGATTTATTGATTAACTCATTCATTTTGCTTTTGTTTGTTTTTATTATGTCCTATTGAAGATTTTCATCAGTTAATATTATAACAAAACAGTAAAAGTCTTTTATTTTTTGTTTTTCTTTTCAAAAATGACATTTTTACAAGAATAAATCCAAAATACAAACACTTTACGCAATATTTTCGGCGTGCGCTAGATTCTTATTCACACGTTAAAAATATAATTCAACGGTTACGCTTTACTAGCACAAAAATAAAAATAAAAATGCATCTCGTGCGTGGTGACCGCAGACATGTTGCATTTTTGTTTGTCTGTCGGCGTCCAGTGTCGTAAAACGCGTTTAAAATAACCGACTAGAAACTTGAAACTCCTATTTTTTGGGGCTAGGAAAGATTGGCTAGGTTCGAAGCGGGCCTCGCCGCTTTCCGGTCTCTTGCAGGTCTTAATTAAGTACGCTTGAGACGGCGACACGCTTGTCTTGTGCGCGCGGCAACTTCGTCAGCTCGATGATGATCTTCCTAGCAGTGGAGGGTATAATGTAGCGGTACGTCGGGTACGTCGTTAATTAGTTCGGTTTAATAACATGGCTGGTTTTACGAGTGTTATACTACTTGCACTAATCTTGTCACTTGTCACATTGCGAATGCATTGCTGGGATTTTGGAGTGTGAAGAGTATTATATTATTTAGTAGGTCAAAATTTATTCAAGGTGGAAATTATAATTTTGTATGGTTGCTTCTGAAAATTTTGGAAATTTATTTTATTTATAATTAATAATATACTTAAGCAGATATTACTGTTTTATTTGTTAAAATATGATTTTTGTTTGCATTTTTTAATTTTTTTGCTTTAAAACGCATAATATTGCTTGTGATGTCACTGTTGAGTTAACATAACCCAAAAGTTGACATTTTTTGTTGACCTAACCTTATCTGACCGAAGTAGTGACGTCAGTGTTTAGTAATTCTCTCCTATTGGAGGTCTACACATTTTAGCAATTTTCACAAGTTAACACTTTATTTTTTGATTTAAATTCTCATTAATTTCACACAGAATGAAAAATAAATGCGAGTTCTTCGTTTCCTGACTAATTTTTCACCAAATAAATACATAATATTTTTTGTAAATATTTAAATTCTTGTTGCAAACAGTTTAAGAGCGCACATATTTTGTTCAATGCCATTCATACATTATGTATTACAATTTATCCCCTAAAGCAAAAGGTTCGACACTTGGGAAACTACACGTTTTCTCAAAACTTCTCAATGCTAAGAATAAGATGGGTTTAACATGCTATACATTAATAATGAATGCGTTGTACTTATAAATGATTAATATGTGTTTGTAAGTTTTTGAAGCATGACTAATTCTGTTTTTGTTCTATATACATTGGTATTCATACAAAATATGACAAGGAAAGCCCTTAAGAATATAAACTTTAAGTTTCTTCGCAGTTTAATGACATTTACAAGGGTTTTACTAAAAGTTTACTAAAATTAAATTCAAAATTTGATATTTTTTATTAAAATGAATTCAAATAAAATTAAAATTGATTCCTTTTTTTGTTGTTGTAAATTATACTCGTACACTGGTGCCAAAAAAAGGCATCTGAAATTTTAATTAATTTCTAACCCGCATTGTGAGCAGCTCCAAATTGGCCTCCCGCAATTTGTGCCCCGGTTATTACCCGTTTATTGGTTCTTCATTGCTGGTGTTTTAATTTTGTGCGCGCTGTCGAATTTCAAATGCCGGCCGCAGCTTGAATGACACCTTTGTTCGACGTTTTGAAGCCCGGGAGAGCTTTGTTTTAGACTCGTGTGGATGCTGAATTTATGAGCTTATTTATGATGTGTGTTTCCATGCCTTTGGTAAGCAAGTCAAAATCTGCACGATTGCAAAAAGCTTGTTTTGCAACTGATATTTTCGAGCTTTCAAGTTAATTGAATTCGGGGGATAAAAAATTTCGAACTGGGGATAAACAAACAAAGTTCATTAATTTTATTAATTTTTGATATGCAGGTAAATATTTTTGTGTTTATTTTGATTTTTTGAACAAAAAATACAACATTATTTATTTATTCATTGTTACATGAGCCACGTAAGACTGAAAATGTATTTTTCCCACAAAAAAATCCCTAGTAATTATATTAATAGTCACGGTCTTGACTGTGCGTGATTTAAGTGCCACTTTTCGAAACTCAAAACCGTAGAAAAAGTAGCGGAAAGTTTGAAATAACCAAAAAGTTATTACAAACATAAATGTCAATAACTAATCCATAGCTATAATAATATCCCAACTTCAGAAACCGGAAGTTAATCTATTATTTTTTATATTTTTCCATTAACTCTTTACTTCTCCTCTTTCCAAATTCTGATACTGCTATACTGCTCCGGATACTTCTGCGTTTCTCCTAATTTAAAGTGAAGGATGAAAGTAGAACTTCCCGTTCGTGTCTGTACTTAGTCCCTTCTTCCGTCTGACAGGTGCGTTACATCCATCTACTTCTCCTACACTCTAGTAGCGTTGATTGTTTCTTCTTTTTCTACAAAAAACAAGATTAAAGCAAATCAACGCCATGAAATATACTCTTACCCTCGAAAGTAACACTATTTCAAGCATTTACTCGGATACAATTCATCCCTTCAAGAGTTTAAGCGTATTCTCAGTCTCTAGACACTTTAGAGACTCCTGATATATTGTATTAGATAAAGAGTTGATTAAACTGTACTAGGTATTTAAGGTTATAATAGTTTAAAAGATAGGTTAGGTAAGTTTTACAACTTGACTGTTTCGTACTTAATTTCATATTTAATCCAATTATATAATACCATAGAACAGTTCACACAGTAGAAATTTTGCCATCGTATTGTTTATCAACGAGGGTGCAAATATTTGCGTGGAACTTGTAACTCAAACATTGAATCGCAAACAAACGCCTGTGGGCTTACAACGTTTATGCATCAAATGATTTAATTTACTTCGTGCATTATAATCACCTCCACAATGATCAAAATCTAACAATACTCATTTATGTATTTTTATTTTGAAAAAAATGTTTGTTTTGTTGACTTAGAAGAAGTTTCAGCAACTCAGGAAAAAATATAAACTTTTTTAACCTCAAACTTAGCCTGTTGGCACCCATAACCTCAAATAATTGGCCCCTAGCCAGGTCTGCAACTTATATAGCACGTTATTATATCTTTATGTTTTATTTTTGGCATATCATCAACATAATATCTTTTTATTCACGCAGTCATGCGTTTCTATGACTTCGAAATGATGAAAAAATGTTCTGATGTTGGCGCAAGAAACTAATTTCGATGATTTGTGCTCTGTGCCGGCATCCCACTGCAATTTTCCAACTTTGTCGTTGCACACAAACACACACATCCCGGTTTATATTAACAATGCAAAGGAGTGATTATACGGCGCCGCGTGTAGTCATTACTCGACGTCGCCGCGCTTGTCAGCAGGAAATCGGCAAATCGGATGCAGCGCTGCTCGGCCACTAATTAGCAATTAGTTTAAGCTCCGCAGCGATGAATACAAGCGCGTGGGCTGGGTGTCGTCATCGATTCGGTGCCCAACCGCCTTTTCGATGTTACACCTCGCTGTATCTGCATAATCAACACCCTCGGAACTTAAACTTTCCAAAAGCATTTTAAGTACTTTTTTAAGTATTTAAATACAAAATATTTCTGCATAATGTCTTTAATTGCTCGTATTAACAAGTTACAAATGTTTCTTGGTTCTTTCCTCAAGAGATTACGTTTCGGCGCAAAGCAAATTGAAATTTATGTCTGGGCATAAGAAATTCTCCTTGATTTATACTTTTGGGCCTCCCAGGTCTCTCATTTTTGTTAACAAATTAATTATTTATAAGCGTTTCGTTTGTTTACTCAAATTCTCACTCTCCTCGCGAGAGAGCTTGTTAATTTGGCAAATTGAGCAAAGGCGGATGCTGCACATCGGACGGAAAATTGTTTTCGTTTCCTTCCATTCACCCAACAAGCAAAAGGAAGCCAGTGGTGTAACGAGTGTTAATATTACGTGGGATACAAACTGAAAAGACGCCATTGCAATTTCCCCCAGGGTAATTAAGTTTTCAAATAATTTTTCTTTAATCTCTTGCTGTTTACCAACCAAAACGAAAAAAAAGCAAATTTGATCGTTTGTAGCAATACTCTGTGTCAATAAAACAAATGTAAACACAATCCGACAAATCAATATTTGTCAGCAACCAACATTACAATTACATGCTATTTGGGTTGCAGAATAAAATTCACCGGAGAATAAAACCAATGAATTTATAATACAACATAATCATGTTTTAGATTACTCAATGTTTCATCAACCTGATGTGTTTCAGCACTCTACATCCGGGATTACACCATCCCATAGTTAACCTAACCTCGCACCTATCTAAATCTTTGACGTACTCCTTATAATCTTTGTTATCTTATAAAACTTGTAAAGGGTAGCACGCAGCATACGCGACCGGAATGACACTCACCTTCGACAATGACAGAGGCGGCTGGGGGTGTAATAGAAGTGCTTTAGAGGGTTGGCGTGTTAGGGGGTTATCTTATGGGCATACGTGAAACCTTGATCGCGCTCTGTCGCCATCCATTCA